CCCCGCCGGCGGGGCCGCGGTTGCCGTGGTCCCCAGGGGCTGCCCCGCCGCCGCGGCTTCCCCCCCCCGCGTCCCGCCACGGCCGAGGCACGGCGGGGGGGGCGGGCGGCGGCAGCGGGAGCCCTCCGCGGCCGGGGACGTGCTGTATTCCCAGCCTCTCTGCACCACCACGACGGTTTCGGCCCCAAACCGGCCCCACCGAGCCCCAAAACCCTCCGCCGGCGGCGGCGGCGAGAAGCCACCGGGGCCCCGACGTGCGCCCGCCCCGGCGGGAGGGGTGGGGAGGAGGGGCGTGGTTCCCCGCGACCACGCCCGTTTTGCACAGACCACGCCCCTTTCCCCTCTTGCCCGCGCCCCTTTCGGTACTGACCACGCCCCCTCTCCGCCTGGGAGCCCGGTGGTGGGCGGGGAGAAGGACCCCCGCGGGCTCCCCCCCCTCTCCTTCCATTGGCGCGGCGCCCCGTCCGTCAGGGCGCGGCCCGCCCCCCCCCGGGGCCGGCAGTAAATACGGTACCGGGCGGCGCGGCTGACACTTGGGAGCTGGTTTCGGGGCCGCCCGGCGGAGGGGACCCGCCTGCAGCCGAGGGTGCCCGGCCGCGACGTGGCTCTGCCGGGGCTCCTCGCCGCCTTTTCCCGGGCGGGGCTGACGGAACCTCAGCGAAACCACCACCGGGAACGAACCCCGGAACCGGGCGGGAGCGGACACCCCCCCGCTACCACCACCACCACCATCACCGCTCCGCCGCTTTCCCCTCACCGCTCCGCCGAGAACGGCGATCTGCCGGGACGGAGCGAGGCAGCGCGGGGCCCGGCCGCCGCTGCCCCCGCCGCCCCCGAATCCCCAATCCCACCGCAACCGAGCGGTGGGCACCGGGCCCCGCCGGCTCCCTCCTCGTTCCCCCGGGCCGCGGCGGCTCCCTGACGCCCGCCGTTGTGATGCGTATTCCCGTAGACCCGAGCACCAGCAGGCGCTTCACACCTCCCTCCACGGCTTTCCCCTGCGGTAAGATGGGCGAGAACAGCGGGGCGCTGGGGACCCCCGCCCCGGGGGCCCGGGCTCGACCCGAGGTCCGCTCCGTCGTGGATGTACTGGCCGATCACGCCGGTGAACTGGTGCGCACCGACAGCCCCAACTTCTTGTGTTCGGTGTTACCGTCCCACTGGAGGTGCAACAAAACGCTGCCCGTCGCTTTCAAGGTAAGTCCTTGAACTTCGGGGAGGGCTTCGACCCGGGCCGGTAAATCCCGGTGGTTCGGTGGGAACCGGCTGAGCTCCGGGCTTGCCCTCCGCCCCGACCCCCTTCGCCTCTTGTCCTCCGCCCCTTTGGCTTTAACTCGCTCCCTGACATCACCTTCAAGGGAACCCGGGTTTATTATTTTTAATCAAGTCTCCGCATTGCCCCGCGGTCACAGCATCTTAGATATTCCGTACAGTTAGGAGCTCTCAGGCAACTTTGAAGTTTAATGAGAGTGGAGGTTAATTACCTTCTTGGGAGAGGGAGAGAGAGCTAGGGAAGGGAGATCTAATCTGCAAAAAAAAAAAAAAAA